ATAAACGTAAATGGCAGTGAATATATATTTTTTTTTAAATTTTTATTACTTTCCTTTTTATTCACTGCAGATTATATTATCTGAATATATTAGATTAATGATTATTTTTTTTTGAATAGTATATATATATATATATTTATATAGTATTTCATTTTTTTTTTTTCTAATTATTTTTTCTAATTAAAAAAAAAATTTCATTATTTAATTACTATAGTTCCTATTTAGGTTATTTCAATTATTTTGAGAACCTCCAATTTATAAATTAATTCCGGTCTTTAAGGCCAAATTTCCTAATAGATAGAAAAAAAAATGACGTAAATCTAATAAAACCATTTGTTTCCATTTTGTTTTTTTTGAAATTTTCATATGTTTTTATCTTCCAATTTGTAAATCTATATTTTTGTTTTAAAAAGTCTAAAATCTTCATTTTCATATTGACTAAATTGACCAGTAAATTTACCATTTAATGTTTTTTGTTTGGTAGGTTATATTTTCTAAAAAAGATGTTATGCTCCACTCTTTCATTCATTTTCATTTTCTTCAGAAGTTTCTTTTAAAAATCAAATATTATTTTTTTTCTTTTTCAAAAATTCTGATGTTAAAAAATTTTAAATTTTTAAGTTTTATGAACATTGTTAAATAAAAGCCAAAATTAAAATTTACGTTTTTTAAAAATCTTTTTTTTTTCTGCTGATGAAAGACTTTAGACAACCTTTTTTTTTTGTAAACAAATTTAGAAAATTTTCTAAAATATAAATAAATTTTTTAAAAAAAATTAATTTGACCAATAACTATCTTAAAATTATGACTCAGAACATTATTTTCTATGATTATAAAGATTTAAAATTTTTAAAAAAAAAATATTTTACTAGATTTGTAAGAATTTGGGGTGTTTTTTTTAATCATCTTTATTTTTAGAAAAAGAATTACATTATGTAAGATAAAATTTTGAAATAAGAACATTTTTTATTTTTTTTTGATTTGAGACGTTTTTCTAACAGCCCAATTTGATTCTATTTCTATTAAAAACATTCGTTAAAAAAAGTTTTTAACATATTTAAATTAATTAAGATGAAAAAATGAAAGATGAGAAACAAATGTTTCTGATTGATAATGTCTATAAAAAGTTTTAAAAAAGTCTCAAGAAACATAAAATTTTCATTAGAAAATCAAATGTAGAAATTTGTTCAATGCTGTTTAAATAGCATATTCAAACACGCCATAAATAAGAGAAATAGGGTTCTTTTTTTTGAATATACAATATGTAAAGAATTTTTGAATGTAAGGGATTATAAAATTAAAAAAACAGTTTAATGAGCAAAAAATTTTTGTAGCAGGTTTCAGTAGATTAAAATAATTTAAATTAATGGAAGATTTAAAAACAAGCACACACACAAATCATTTGTTCTAATTTTTTGAAAAACGAATCAAAAAGATTGCTATTTAGACATTAAAATTTATAGCTACATCTATTATAAAATTAAATATTTTTATCCATATGTTATTTATAGCAAAGTATTTTTATTTTTAAATTAAATATTTTTTAATATTTCAAATTTACTTTTATCATTTCAATCTATGAAAAGTAAATATCTGTATATATGTGTGTATATATGTATGTGTGTGTGTGTGTGTGTGTGTGTGTGTGTAAAGAATGCACGGCCGCAATTTTCGACGGATTTGCACCAAAATTTACATGCACATGCTCCAAGTTAGCGGGAAGGCCAAGACCGACTTTGCATTTCCCAACTCCCATCGATAGTGGAAATAATCGATTTTTTTCATGCTTCTACGGCAGTTTTCATGTAGTTTGCGGCCATTTTCTACTGGCCAGAGTGAGAGCCTATAGCTGGCTGCCACGAATAGGCAGGAAGATTCTATTGGCCAGCGTGAGAGCCAACAGCTGACTGACACGAATGTTAACTAGCATGCTAGCATGCAAAAAAAAAAAAATCGATAGCTGCATTCGTCACAAGTGGGAAAAATTTAAATCTGCATGGCACTTTACTCCAATTGGCTCATTCGCTTGCTTAAACTCAACGTTGATTCTGATTCCGCAGAACTGGGTTGGGTGTGAAAAAAGTATTTGTTGTTAACATTCTTTTTTCATTCGGTTTTTCCAGTTACGAGTCCTTTTTTTTAAAGCTGATCGTTTTGTGTTCATTTTGTTTAGTTCTTTTTTCGTAACAGATTTAATGTTTAGTATAGAGCTTAGAAAAAATTCGCAGTGTGAGATAGGCAAGAAGTAAGGCATGTAGCAACATCATCACGGCAAAGGGCACTCCTTTAAAAAGGCAAGGAAGGGCAAAATATTTTAAGTCAAGTGATAGCGATTGCTGTATGAGTCGTACGATTTTTGAATCAAGCACGGGCAACGCCGGTAAAAATTTTATCTATTTATTTTTGATGGATTTCATATTCGGAAACATAAAAATTTAATACTTCCCCAACTAAAATACATCTATCCATTATTAAAATCAATAGAAATATTTCATTTCGAACAATGCATCAGTTATCTTAAATTAATCCGTTGGATATAAATAGATTTGCTCATGTCTATATTAATGCAATCAAACATGTTTCAAATAAGATATGCAGCCTAAATTTTAGATTCTCAAACATTTTTATGTCTTGAAAAGCATCTAAATCTCTATATAAAATATATATATATATTTAATAAATATTATAAATATTGTATTGTTATCTGGTATCTATATATATATATCTCAGGCCATATATAAAATTTTTATAAAAATTTAGTTTAATTAAAAAAAATGAATTTCTTTCCAAACACATTTGAGCCAAACAAGCAAAATGCGTAAAAAAGATCCCCCCAAATATAAAAATTAACATGCAAAAAAATATGGAAATTAAATAAACTTTAAAAATAAAGTTCTTTATTTCTATTCTGAGAATCATTTTGTTTTTATATAACTATATATATTCGATTTATATATATCTATTTTTTGCAATGTTTCATCCATTTTTTGTTAAAATATATATATATTAAAAATTAAAAAGTGAGAAGAAAATGAAACAAACATTTTTGGTTGTAATGTGGATTTTTTAACAAAAATATTATGCTTTGTTTTCCATAATTTTTGTCGGGACACGGGTTTTGGTCTCTTTGACCGTCTTCAGGTAAAAGTGGATTTTCTACATTTATTAAAAAATAATTAATTTTTTCTTTATGTTCAATGTTCAATATTCTCGATATGAGACATTCTCTGTTTTCTGTTGGATATCCGAATTTTACTTCTTGAATTTCAATAAAATATAATATATATATATATAAATATATATATATTATTATATATATATATTTTATACAATGTTTTATTAAATAATATACAAATGTTTTTTTCTATTGTTAATTTAATTTAATTTAAATTTCAAATTCATTTTACTGTAAGGTTAGCTTTTTCATTCAACATTTAAAATTCTCGCCGGAAATTTGTATATTAATCCATGAGAATAAATCCATTTTTATGATCGAAATTAGAAATAAAATGCCATTTCTAAAACAAACAACATTTTACGAAACTTTTTTACAAAACATTTTTTTTTTTTCCAAAAAAATAAAAAATCAATTTGTAAAATCGTACATTCCTTTTTCGTCACACGAAAACGCAATGAATGAATAACATTTTCGTTTTATAAAAAAAGCCATTTCAGACAATAAAAAATAAAATACGGCCATATAAAATAAAAATTTTATTTTATGTTTGAAATTCTTATAATTATATTTATTATATAAAACTCATATATATATATAACGCGAAATGAATATAAATATATATAAATTATTTATATTCATTTTCATAATGTAATCAAAAATCTATGTCGATATTTTTTCAGATTTGTATATTTCAGATATATATATATAACTATTTAAATAGGATTTTTAATTTGATCATCATTTCTTTAATTTTGAATATTTTGATATTTAATGTCGAAATGAAAAATTGCATTTAAAGAATTTTGTCTTAATTTCAATAATTCTTTCCTTTCCTTTCATATATATATATATATATAGTTAAAAATGCTATTTATATAATTCGAAAAAAACTTTATATATATTTAAATTTTTGTTTTTAAATGATTTAAAAAAAAAAAATTATTCGTTATAAAAGGCATTCAGAAATAAAAAAATGATAAAAAAAACAAATATCTATTTCAGACTTTTTTAATTGCGAATGCTATTTTTTTTTTTGTTTTTTAAAATTTATTTATATATATATATTATATAATTCTTTATATAATGATTTCCGCTACTCTATCCATTTTTTCATTAACTAAAAAAATCATTTCAAAAGTGTGACAAAAAAAAAAAATTTCATTTTTTCATTTTCTTTGGGGTATAAATCAGATTCCTGAATTATTTTATTCACCGTTTTTTTTTGCCTTTATTTGAAAAACGTGAAATAACTTTTTTTCTATTATCTTGTTATTTTCCAATTTTATCTATTAATTAGCTTTTATAAATCTCTATTTTCAATTTCTCATGGAATTTTTCATTCTATATTATAGTATATATAAATATAAATTTATATTCTTCTGTTTCCCTAAAATCTATCTATTTCTTTCTGTATATATATATTTAAACAGGTATATTTATATATATTTATATATATATATAAATATTTAATTTCTTTAAATGAATTCTAATATTCATAGTGTCTTTTTAATTTTGTTTTTATCTATCTAATCTATCTATTTTTAGTATATTTGATGATATATTTTATATATTTTTTTAATAATTATTATTATAAGTCATTCTAATTTTCTTTCTTATTTTTTTTCATATCTATGTATCTCTTCTAGACATTCATTTGTTTGCAGAACGTTTCCTATTCCTTTCTATAATATCATCCAACATTCCTTTAGCCTGGTTTCATGTTTATCTAAAATTATCTTTTAAAATCTTAAAATTTCCATGTGAGGACATTCTGAGGATTATATTATATATTTTATATTTCAATTTCATATTTCTTCTTCAAATGAAATCTTACGCCTATCTCTCTCATCCATATCTATCTATCTATCTTTTCTCTCTTTTAATTTATATTCATTTGTAAGATGACATCTCGTTTCCTATTCTGGATATTATAGTCTTTCATTTTATCATCTGATTTAAATCTATCTTTTTCTAAAAATACATCTATATATTGTTAAATTTTCTATCTCTGTCATAATTATCTCATATATTATAAGTAATATCTATATCAATCTATCTTAATGAATTTCCTTATAAATATATCTATATATATAACGATCCTCCTATAAATATAATCTAATCTGTTCAAGAACATTCATCTTCTATCCATTTATCTATATGTACTATTTTTTACTATCTCTTGTTTTCTAAATATTATCTTTTTTATTTATAACTATCTATTTTTGTTTTATCTATCAAAAGTGGTAAAGTTATAAATTATCTATCTATCTATCTATCTATTTTTTTTTTACCTCTATCGCGATCTCCATCTATCTATCTATTATCTATCTATATATATCGAATTCCGACTTTCAGTTCTATCTGTCTATCCAGTTCATATCTATCTATATATATATCTATTCAAGATCTATTTGGAATCTATTCATTCAAATCCAGAAAAATTCCCCTGTTTGAATCTAATATCAATGAATCTATCTATCTATGTATCTATCCCTAATCTGCATCCAGTATCTATCTATCTGTTTATTTCCATGTATCTCAAAATCTGTCTATTTATCGTCAGATCTTCTATTGGAGGTACAATTTTAATCTATCTGTTCTACGAATTATCATTATTTAT